ATAAATTATATTTTTTTTTGAAGTATGGAAATTTTTATAAGCTTATATAATGGAATAAAAGTGTAATAGACTATTTATTACTTTATTTTTAATATATTTTTTTATATTTTCATATAATAATATATAAATTGCTCTATAATATTGTTTCTCAATAATGTTATTTTTAATGCGCATTATTGCTTGATGCTTAATGGCTTAAAGTAGATTTATACTAAGATTAAAAACAGACTTTTATATAAACTATTAATTAAACTGTTAATATCATATTATGATCAAGATACTAATAAAAAAACATATTAAATATGTTAAACATATTCGTAATTTTTTGTAAAAAGAAAAAAAAATTAAAAAAAAATTAAATAAGGAAAAAATAATAAATTATAAGTTTAATCTCTTCCTGGAGAATAATATTGTATAAAACGGTGCCTTATTCATTGTGCGCATCGAACAGTAATATTTCGATTCTTTTAAAACATTAGAATTTTTTTCAAGTGAAGTTTTTATTTTTTTTTATTTTGTTCTTATTTAAAATATTTTAATAACATATCTTATCAAAATAATTTATATAAATATAAATTTTTTTTTCAATTTTTAATTAAAATTATAATTTAAATACACATCGTGTACAATTTTTCCACTTATTTTTATTTCCTTTAAAATATCATAAATTTACAATATTTTCATTGATTTTCATTAAAATTTTCAAATTTCCAAATAATAACTAATCATAATTTTTTTATGACAAATATATTTGTCAAATATTGATAAATTACATACATACGTACGTATATAATTAAATATAATATAAATATTTCCATGATCAAATTTCTCCAAATATTCAACTTTTTTAATAATTGAGAAATAATTCTCAGAACAAATTTACAAACAAATAAATTTTATACTGAAGTTTTTATGATTAATTGATAATATTTCAGCAATTAATATTACGAAATCAAACATAAAAATCACGTGCTGTTCATTAAATATTTTAATGATTATATAATTTCTTTTGAATATCGAATAAAAAATTTCTAATCAACGTCAAACAAAAAAAATAATTCTCAAAATAAATTTGCATTACAAATATATTTCACACTTGATTTATGATCAATCGATATTTTGATATTAACAATTAATCAACATATTGCGAAATCAAATGTAATAACCTTATCACGTAATAAACATTGGAAACTAAACATTTCAAATAGGTATAATCTCTTTTTAATATCCCGATAAATAACATTAATTTCAATATTCAAATTTATTCTTAATCTAATGATCAAACAACAAAAGAATTCTCAAATAAATGACTAAATTTTTTACAATCAACCAAATGATATTTCAGCAATGAATCAAATCAATGAATCACTCCTGCGAAATCAAACGTAATAGTAGTAGTAAATAATTCAAATACATAATTTCTCTTTGACATATCCCCATGAATAATATTAGTTCCACCAAATACCTAAACTTCCTAAATATCTAAAACTCTTAATGATCAAACAACACAAAATTTTGCCAAAATTTTCATCGAACAATCAATATCTATAACCCACGACTAAATCTTTTACAATAAACCGTGACATTTCGACAATTAATCAACGTCCTCCTCAAAATCAAACATGACAACTCTACGTAATAAAATATCATAAAGTGAATATATATTTCAAATAACTATAATAACTTCCCTCTATCACGAATAGAATTAAATAACCGCCAAACTTGCCAAAATTGCTGCAATGACCAGTGAATAAAAAAAAAAAAGAAAAACCTTCGAAAATTCACGATTCAAACTTGAAATTCTCATCCCAACGAGCATCATATACATATATATGGTCCACAACTGAACCTTTTACGGTCAACCGAGTGATATTCCGAGCAATTAGTCAACGCCTCGCGAAATCGAACGTAACAACCTTACCACGGATCGCGCCCCTACTCTGCCATTTCCCCGGCTTTTTACTCATCGAACACGTAGTAGTCGAAAGCCGAGCAAGCGCCGTGACGCAGCCGGCGGAGGCGCGCGCCCACGAAACCGACGAAGACGCGGCGCGGCGTCTCGACGTCGTTCCTCTCGTAGTTTCCCGTCTTCCTCGTTCAAGCGGCTCAGTGCGTCGCGACTCGTCGCCAAGGCTCGTCGCGTTCCTCATTCACTCTTCCATCCCGCGACACGTACGTGTGCCCGTGCTTTCTCAATATCCAGGATTCGTAAACATATATATTACTTGTGCATATTATTATATTATTCAAAGCATATTCAAAANCGTAACTCGAACCGTCGTGTGTGTTTTCCACGTTACGTAAATGTTCCGCATCTGACGCGTTCCGATCTTTGACGCGAGATCGGTTCGCGTTTCCACGATTATCATTTTTCGAGAATAACGATTTTTTTTGGAAATTTGCCCGGTTTGGTTTACGGGATGGAGTTTGGTAAAAATGTTGCTCGAGTTCAGTTTTTGTATGTATGTATACGTACGAGGGGATTTTCATGCTGAGCTTTAATCGTTTTCCAATACGCGGGAACCTTACTCTTTTGGTCCAACGCCCAGTTTTGTTTTGCGCCCTTCGTTGCCTTTTGGTAATGCTCCAAGAAACTGATTTCTCCAAAATATAGGAGAGATTTGTTATTCTCGAAGGAAAACACAGATTTTTCTTCTATTTTCATTCCTTTCTCCTTTGCGCTCTTAGAATCTTCAATTTTCAAACCTAGTTAGTTATCATATCATAGAGAATATTTTGTATGTTTAGTCGTTACACGTTACACGTTTCACGCTGGGTGATAATGAAAAGAAAAATCATATCGAGCGTCGACTGAATACCAATATACCTGCAATTTCATTGGATGATTCAACGTAACAATTCATTGTTATAAATGATGTGAATAATTATAAAAAATTCTCAATCCAACCGTAAACTATTCTTTTTATATAAAATTTTACATTTCGATTAATATTGCATTTCGATATTTAAATATTTTATAAATCGGTATAAATTTAATCTGTGAAAATCTAGTTTCAATCCGGTATCGGAAATTTTTTAAAACCGTTCTGAAAACCATTCTTTGCACTGTGCAAAACTTGTTAACTATCCTAACATAAGAAAGTATCGATAAGTACAAATAATTACACCGATGAACTCTTGAACACGCTCTCTCTTTTTTTCGCGGAAAAAATCTCGCGATATTTCTACGGCAAGAGATTAAGAAGCAAAAAAAAAAAAAAAAAAAAAAAAAAAAAAAAAAAAAAAGACAATGGCATTGATAGCGATTAAAGAAACAACAATCGTAACTATCGTTAATCGTCCATTGTCAGACAAGTCGAGTCGTCATCGCGAAAATCAGCTGATAGAATCGTTTAACGTTTGATTTATATGCATGTATATCATCCGTATACGAGCGAGTTGGTATCGCGGCCTTGAAGGAAACAACATTCGCGGCGGGAAAAATAAAAACAAGTAAAAAAAAAAAAAAAAATGGTTTGGAAAATCGATGTCGAACGGAACGATACTAATTCGTTCTTTCATCTGGAAGAAAGAATTCCGTTTCTTCGGATGAACCGCGTTCAACCGTGGCTCGACTCGATTAACGACGTTAGGCGAAACATTTCATGGGGCGCACGTGAAACGTGCTCATTGATTTTACCCGAATGGAATATTCATGGACGCGTCCACGCGCGACGCTACGCGATGAAACCGCTGTGTCGCGTGTCGGTGGAATGGCACTGGTCGAGGGTCGATCGAAGGGTGGACAATTTCGTGGTAGCTTTGACGTGTTAAGCTTCGATATTCGAAACAGAGATATTATATCAATAAGTAATTTTGATCGATGCTTTTTAGAAATTGAATAATTTCATGGTTAAGCTTAGATATTTGATGACTAATCTTGGCATATATGCGAATTTAATATAGTAATATTTGTAGTAATAAAGATATTATAAATCTAATATAATTTTTTATCGTGTTTTAGAATTGAACGAACAGTTTCATGTAATTTCGTGGTAGATTTGATGTTTTTAAGATATTTATTGACGCTTGATAAATTCCTGTAACACATATTAATTAACATTTTAGTATTGAGTATTTTACGATTAGCGAGTAATGGATAATTATAGAAAAGAAAAAATCTTCTATGCAAAAATAAAAAAAAATAAAAACACGATATTTTTATTTAAGACTTTGTTTTCAAGCTTCGTGTACTTAAGATTTTATAAGATAGGAATTTTCGATAATAAAATTATTTGTTAATATATGATATAAGCAAAGAATGAAAAAAAAAGTAAACAAAGAATGAAAAAAAAAATGATGAAAAAAAAAATGATGAAAAAAAAATGATGAAAAAAACGTGTTAACGTGTGATACTTTAAAAAGAATGAAAAAGAAGATATATTTTATTGAGGATTATATTTTTATAAATTCTTTTTTCGTTTATCCCTCGTAAATCGTTTTTATCTCTCCAAGTAATTTCAGTTTGCTATAGATCGAGAAGAAATTTCATTCAATTTTGTTAAAATTTTGTTTGAATTTGTGTTTGAAAAAAATCTTTAATATTTCACTTAATCAGAAATTTCAATAAATATTTCAATTTTTTCAAATTTTCTAAAATTTAGAACTAATAAAAAAATCAATATCATAATAATAATAAATAAAATAATAATATCAATCAGATAAATTGATTAATATTTTATAAATATGTAAAACATATTTCCAATAAATCAATAATCTATTGTTAAAATATATAAATAACTATTGTTCTTCTTTTTCTTATATTTACAACTTTAATATAAAAAAAAATTGAAATTTCTTCGTGAGTCATTTATGATTTCTGCGTTTGAATTGAGATTTCATATAAAAAATCATACATTATAAAGTTGAATTCATTTGTTAAATTAAGCAATTGAAAATTCTGTGTTTCATATATGAAATCTGCGTATTTATGTATAAAATATCATATTGAATCTATGTAATTTATTAGATTAAACAATAATACATTTGAAAATTCGTAACAGAAAATGGTTTTGTGACTCAAATTTAAAGCGAAAAGATTCACGAAATTAGATATGCATAGTTGTATTGTGAAGCATTATTGTGAAGCATATTGTATCTTTGAAGCACAAACTTAATATACAATCAATTTAATATACAATCAAAAAGTATTTTTACGTTAAAAAAAAATTCATCCGAAAATTTTGATTTTATTAAAAATTTATATGTATACAGGGCACAATAGATTATATATATATATGAAGCAAATTTCGATGAATAAATCTCTTTGAATGAGTAAAATCAACCCTCAAAGATTCCATTATTTTTTTTAATTTTAAATACAATTTCATTTAAGAATATTTTTCGCAATAAAATGATAGAATATTAGAAATCAAATATTTTATAATTTAAAATTTTCTTTTTATCATTACAAATTATATTTAAAAAAACAAAAAATTTTTTTTGATTTTATTGATTTTATTGATTTTCTTAAAGTGATAAAAATGCTGAAAAAATTACTGCGTATAATTCATTAAACTCTATAATTCATTATAAAATTTCATTAAAAATAAAAGAAATTTTAATTTTTTCATTTTTTTATTTTTAAAAAATTTGTTTTTTTTGAAACTTTTTATAAAATTTATTATATCTTGAGTTTTATGTTAGTTTTATATCAACAGTGTTTTGACGTTATAAATATTTGTCTTCGTATTAAAGATTTTATATTGTAAACTTTATATTATAAAGTTCTTATTTTAAGATTCATGTTATTAGTATAAGCTCCATGAGCACTATGTTGTATAAAATATTATAAACTTTGTAAAATTTTGCACATTCCATTCTAAACTTTATATCGTAAAATTTAAATTGTTGAATCTTCATATCGTGGAGGTTTTATATCATTTTCAAAGCTTCGCATTTGTGAAATATCTATTATAAGCTTTCTATTGTAACTCCTAATATTATTGTAACTCCTAATATTATTCAAACTTTGTAAACTTCATATTGTCAAGTTTATGTTGTAAACTTCATATTTCAATTACGCGTTTCAGCCTTGAATTTAATATTTACGAATTTCATCCCTTGAATCTCTGTATTAAAAGCTTCGCATCGTATAAGTTCATATTAATATACCATCGTATACCATGAAATTAATGTGCGAATATTTCACATTCTTATGGTCAGGTAATAAAATTTTAATTACGACATTCGCATTAAAAAGATTAGACGAGGTTCGTGTTATGAGATTGTTATCCGGAGTCTTGCATGTTTTTGCAAAACTAAGCACGCTTTTCTCGTCGTCACAATTCACGCTACGTGATATGGCGTCGATATTTAAGGTTGGTCAGCTTTATGTTTCTTTTCCACGAATTCTCCGTAACGAATGGAGATTAACGATGAAATTGCATGTAATTTTCGCGTTCGATGATGAAACATTGAGATTCGTTATTTCGATTGTGACTTGAAACGCTGTGACAAAATATTATCATGGATATTCCGATGCAATGAAATTTTTGGAATTTTAATTCTCTCTGTTGAAATTAATTGTAATATTTTCAAACAATTTTTTTTTATTTTTTTTTTTATATCATTATTATGATTCTTCGAATAATATCTGGATAAATATTTACAAAAAAATATATTTCTATCTTCCAATTTTTATGATTTTTTTAATATATTATCAAGGTCATCGTATTGATAATTTAACAAATCGTTGTTTATTAAAAAATTATTTATCTAATCTAGTCTAATTAAGACTCAATATAATATATCAGGAAACCGTAAATTAAATAAAAACTCATTTAGTTGTTAATGATTTGCATTAGATTTGCACTAGTTTTCTTAATCTGACTACTGTAATTGTAGTAGTAGCGATAAAGCTGATTAAAACTAACCCAACCTAACATAAACTGTTTCGAAGGAACGTTTTTATTAATAACTTTTTAATGAACAGCGACCTCTAAGTAAAAATTTTCACAATACAATTCAGAGTGATGGCAATATATTAAAAAGCCATCAAGATCAGAGGGTAATATTTTTTTTTTTTTTTTT